ACTTGTTAGTCTGCAAAGACAGTAAATTCCCAGACCCTTCACAGTTCTTGTCAGTAAAAGAAATGCCATTCTTTTCAGAACTATAAAAGGGGCCCTTCAATAAATCTTACTGAATCTGAATGAAGCTGGAATTTAGGCTCCTTATGAATATACATTATGCTTTTTTATCCTATTTCTTATGAAAGTAATTTTTTTTCAAGTTAAAGGACTGTCATTCTGAGTCTTGTCATTCTACAAAATAGTATTACCCTTCTATAAAAAGAGTATTACCCTTTTTGCTTTCTGCCTATGTTCTACCAGAGCACTTGCTTTTTTGTTTATATATTTGTTACTTTTTCACATGATGAATAGGGTTCTTTCCTTTGAAAACAAAATTCGGAAACTACTGAACTATAGCTTGTCTTCTAAGATATTTATATTTCTCTTTGACAGTCTCTGTACATACCCATCTTTCAGCAGTCAGCTTAAGTCCTATAGCAGTGGTTTTTTAAAAATACATTATATAAAAGTTATATATTACAATAATTTAATTATATACTATGAATATATTATATAATATTTATATTATAAAATGATGGTATTAACAGTCTTACCCCCTCTTCCTCTCCCTCTGTTCTCTCTCCTCTTAGAAATAAAAGCATTGCAGTTTGGATGAGGTGCACTGATAAATAAGCATGCTGATTTGTTTTTCATGAAGTTGAGATTTGGAATATATAGTTTTCATAAAAGAAAATGGGGTATTTAGGAGGGCACTCCAAAAAATTTGGACATAACATGGATGTATTAAGATGAGTCAACTAATAAATTAGTTAACTAGTAAAGCAATATGTTGGATATGAACAATGTCAAGAAAAAAGATAGGACTGTTAGATAGGGATGAACAGAATAATGTTGAAATTTTAGATCCTGCTGCCTAGGGAAAGCCTCACTGAGGTGAGTCCTGCGTAAAGAGCTGCAGTATGTTAGAAGAATAGCACTGGACTGTCCGAAGGCTGAGCACTGTGGGTAGAGAGAGTGCCTGGTGCGAGACATGAGGAGGCTGGTTCATAATGAACCAGTTAGAGTATTACCCTTTTCTCTTTGCTCTCTGTCTGTGCCTCTACCAGAGCACTTGCTTTTATGTTTATGTGTTTGTTATTTTTTTACATGATGAATAGGATTCTTTCCTTTAAAAATAAAATTATGAAACTATTGAAGTATGTCATTTCTTCTAAGATACTTGTAGTCCTCTCTGTCTCCGTATGTTCCCATCTTTCAGCAGTAAACCTAAGACCCATACCAGTGATACTGTTTTTTAATTTAGCATGTACTTAAGTGCCATACTGAACCTGATTTTATATGGTTTATCTTTTTTTTAAAGAGAAAAAATAATAAGGTACAGAATTTCAAAAGATGACAGTCAATTAACAAAGGTTGTTATATGTTATATTGTTATCTTCAGAGTAGTTGCTCTGATTACCAGGTACAGGCGTGCAAAATTGATCAGACAATATAAGCACACTAACTGTAATAGTTTATCTTTTAATCCCCACATACGTTATATATTTTTGTCTATTGAGAAGTGGCTGAGACCACTTAGAAGAGTTAGAGAATAATTCTAGGCAGCACTCCATCTGAAACCTCTCTAGTCATGCATTATTTACCTTGTGTTACTAAATATAAAAGTTTGCTTTCAAGTCTTGTTTGAAAAAGAATTACCTTTTCCTTCAAATACCATCCTGTCCCTCTAGGTGCACCATTATTTTCTCTTCTCCTTCCTCCTCCTCCACTTCTTCTAGTACATATTTGCACTACATAATGATTACATTTATTGTGGGGAATTGGTATATGCACATAACACATTTTTTTTCTTCCCTTTCCTCCATCTCTTGGTCCCCAAGGATTGCTCTTTCCTTAGGTTTATATGTTGACTGCTTATTCCTTCCACTCTCTTTAATCTTTTTAAATTCTCTGATCTAATTTGGCTTCCACTGCTACCTATATGCTTTTTCTCATATCTTTATTTCTAGTCTATACCCTTCCTTCTCTTGAGCTATAAGCTCCATTTTAATGGCTGTGGGCAACATGGATTCATATCTAAAGCAACTGATATCATACCCATGAGGAAAAATAAACATATTCTTCCTCTCTTATCCTAGTAAGTGGAGTTCTTGTCCAGTTGTTTAAGCTAGAATCTGTGATGATGGCCTTCAATCAAAGATGTGCTGTTCAGACCTTTTGCAAAGTTGAATTTATGAAAGCTTTTTGCAGCAAGAGAAGCCACATGCCCTGGGGAACTAGAGTATATTAGGAAGATGGTGCTGGATAGACTTAGAGAATTTGGCCTTTTGTTGGGTTATTTTAGAGAGGATTTAAGGAAGTAGTAGGAATTTGCTCTCTATTGGATTTGTCGAGAAGTGGTAATTCTGTTGTTGGCTATCTTAATAAATCTCCCCTGCCAATGATAAGAATAAACTAGAATTGCTAAAGAAGCACCATCATTGGGTTTGCTGGGATTTTTTTTTGTGGTTTTTACAGAGTCCTGGCTTTTGCTTGTCAGAATTTATTCCATGCTAACTAGTTTTCCCTCACTGCCGTTATGGTTACAGGACCTTATCTGACGTTGGTGAGTTGTGAGATTCTGTTTGATAGAATAATACCACCTGCTAGCTATGAGGGCCACTTTTTTCTCACTTATTTGAGGTAGAAAATTAGGTAGCATTTGGATAGTAGGAAGATGGAAGAATGTTTTGGGATATGCAAGGGGCGATCAAAATAATATAGTATATGTTGAAATTTTAAAAATTTATTGCAATAAAAGGCACACTGCCATTAATCCCCCTCAAAATACTTCCGCTTTGGTTCGAACACACTTATCCCATCATTCTTGCCAGTTTGTGAAGCACTTCTGGAAGTGCCTTTTCATGAGTGTCTTTATGAGATATGATCAAAAATATGTTGACTGCTATTGGTGAGTGGTATGCAACAGAAAGGCAAGCTGATAAAAATATTATGGTGTACCCTCATTCACCTTATTCACTGGGTCTGGCACTGTGTAATTTCTAGCTCTTCCCCAAAGTCAAAATGACTATGAAAGGTCAATATTTTGAGTCAATTCAAGATATCAAGGCAGCCATTACAGTACAATTGCTGATATCCACAAAAAAGGAACCTCCAAAAATGCTTCAGAGAGTGGCAAGAACGATGGGATAAGTGTGTTCAAACCAGAGAGGAAGTATTTTGAGGGAGATTAATGGCAGTGCATCTTTTACTATAATAATTTTTAATGTAAATATTCACTGTACTTTTCAATCATACTGTGTGAGAACAAAGAATTTCCATGTTATTGGCTGTGAGGGAGAAGCAGTAAAGAAACATATTCTACTGGGAATAAATATCAGTGGGATCTACTTTTATATTAAAGTGGAAATCTAGTCCGTTTATTTGCTACCTGGGGAAGAGAGGCTAAGAATATGGTTATATATTAATGGTATATGGGATCTTTTAAAGCGAATGTTTAAGTACTTACTATGTGCTGGGCACTAAGTACTTAAAAGATTTATGATCCCATTAGAACTTCTGTATTTTACAGATCTAAATAATAATAGCTCCTTCAGGGGGTTGGTGATACCTGCACTTCATAAGCATTGAATGAACAATAGTGGCTGTTGTTTTCTTCTATTTTTTTTTTTTTTCCTCCGGTACCGGGAACCGAACTCACGACCTTGCGCATGCCAGGCAGGCGCTTTTGCCGCTGAGCTAAATCCCCAGACCCTGTTTTCTTGTATTAGCTGTATGACTTTGGACAAATCAAAAATTCTGAAGAGTCTTAGTTCTAATACCACTGTACACGATTGGCATAAGGATAAAAAAATACACTGGAAACGTTTTAGAAACAGAAAGCACTGTACAAAATCAATACTAATCTCAATTCTTTGTCTTACCTTGATAGGTAAGTGACTGTGGTTGGGTTATGATATGTTGGGTCCAAATGTGACAGGGTCTTGAGTACAGGATGAGAAATTTAGATTTTATGCTATGGGTGTTAGAAATGGGTTTTAGAGCAGGATGATGATAAATGTGGTGGCATAGGAAACTTGGAAGAGCACCTAGAGGCTCAAGGATCAAGGAAGATCTTTTATACTAATTACTGGTGGTTTACATTATTGAAATCACAGTAGACATGAAAAAGCTGGGGCATTTTTAAAGAATTCTTGCTGTTCTAAGTTGGATATGAGGAATGTGGAAAAGAAAGGTTTCTTGTAATTTAATTTTGGGACTGGATTAACTTTGCTTAGATGTAAGTGGGTAATATGTTTGAAAAATAGCCTTGTGATAATATACTGTATAAGATGAACAAATAGAAGCTTTTGGTTTTAGGTATTTATTTGGCTTTCCCCTCCGTAGAGATGTGAAGCAGAGTAGAAAAAAATGAAAAGTAGGTTAAAAAAGAGATAAGAAAATTGAAATTTTAAAATTGTACATAACTGTAGCTTTAAGACAAAAGTTAACAATTTTAAAATCTTGATTTTCTGGTCTGTTTTTAGCTAGTCTTTATTTTTCGTATCCTACCTCAGACCCTAATTTGTATGTAATGTGTAAAAAGAAAGCTTTTGGGAAAGGGATACAAGTGCAGAGATCAGCTGTAAAGAATTTGCTTTTAATATTTTAGTATATGTGCGGCCGAAGTGAGCACAAGAATTTGCTTTTAAGATAAATGTACTGTCTTAGACATATGATTAGAAACTGCTATTAGGGATATAAAATTACTTTGAAGTGCATCAAAAATGACAGACACAGAAAGATGAATAGATATTTGATAACTAAAGCAAAATGTTAATTGACTGTAGATTCCAGTTACTGGGCACATGGATGTTCACTGTAAAATTCTTCCAACTATTTGCTTATTTGAAAATTTTAATAAAATGTTGAAGGAAGGGAGAATGATAATAAACTGTTGGCAGAAGACATGTCTGGATGATTTTTACCCACCTGATCAGAGACTTTTGTTTTCTCTGTAGGAACTTTCCGCTGTACATTTTGCCATACAGAGGTAGAAGAGGATGAATCAGCAATGCCCAAAAAAGATGCACGCACGCTTTTGGCAAGATTTAACGAACAAATTGAGCCCATTTATGCATTGCTTCGGGAGACAGAGGATGTAAACTTGGCCTATGAAATACTTGAGCCAGAACCTACAGAAATCTCAGCCCTGAAACAGAGGTAAGCAGAGCCCTGTGCCCTTACCAAGAATCCTTTTAAACTTGCTCTTGTTTTAACTTTGCAAAGGGAGTAATTTGCCAGAAGACTAAAGACTGTTATGTTACATAGGTTCACAGTTCTACCATACTTGTCTTATTAACTTGTGCCTGTGATGAAATTTGCAAAATAGTGTGTGGCTTTAGAAATCTTTAATTAGTCAGATTTGACTTGAGCCACTTACTCTGTTTGGGCCTGCAGCAACTCAACCAATTATTCACTAATCCTAAATTAGTTGTGCTTCTTAAATTTTCCTAGTCAACTTGTGAAAGCTCAAATTCTTTCAGGACTACAGGATTTTCTTCATTTTTTTGAAGCATTTAACCACAAGTTTCTTGCTGTCCTTAGTTATGAATGTGACTTTCTTGAAAGTAAAGTATAAGTGTTGCCTATAGGTTAAGACTTCTAATAATGGCTTTTTATTTTTTTCAGCGTGCATAAGTATTGGAACTGCAGAGGCAGCTTAGTTCTGCCATGCCATAGCAACTGGTTATATTCTGTGTATGCAAAACATAAATGAGAACTACAGTTAGGCCATGTTCTCATACTCTACCCCTTTTCCCTTTCCCTGTGTCAGGATACCTTGATATCTACCTTCTTCCTTCTTTAGACTTCAGCTCCAGTTGTACTCTTAATATTTTATTTTCTCTGATACTGATGTTATAGAATAGTGAGTCCTGAGCAAATTGAGTTCCTTTTGGGTGGTTGAAAACAATTCGATTGTACAGAAAGTTGTGTATCTGTGTCAGTTATTATGAATTTTCTAATCTAGTACCATATGAAAGCTTTTTTTCCTATGATAACAGAAAATGCAACAAGAAGTACAAAAATATTGGGTTTTTTAAGATTGTAAGTATTTCATATTGAAATATGCTCCAACACTTTCTAATTCCTTTCTATATAGTATAATACTATCTGAATTACCCTCTGTTTCTTCTACCTATAGTTATTTATTGCATTTACCAAGATGCTTCCAACTACTATAGCATTCAGTTCCCACCACCAGTGGCATCCTGCCTCTAATGTTCCGACCTCGCACAGACCACTCCCACTCCCACCCCAGAATCTTTATTTAGATGAGCCTCACTCAACGACTGATAGTGTACAGCAACACCAGGAGCCCCACAGCAGCTTGCTTTGTCAAGTCACCCTCTTATCAGGAATGATGGTGACTCCGGGGCTGAAAAGAGTCTCAAGTAGAGTAAATAAGCTGACCAGACAGAGGAAATCTGGTGGCCTGGTCACCAAGGAAAAAGGCAAGTAGAGATAGGCAAGAAAGACAGTGGGGTTCCTGGAGCTCCAGCCAGAACCAAGATACTGTCATCTCTGTTCTGTCAGGGAAAAACCACTAGGTTAGAGGATGTCACCCTAAGATGGCACTGCCAAGCATCTGACAAGCTCCATGTTTGGATAGAACATCCTTAAATTGGCAAGGTTTGGGCATCACAACTATAAGATCACAAATTTCTGTAATAGCCCATCCTGTCTCAAGGCTGTAATAATCCATCCTGCCCTAAATATAAGAAAAGAATTATCAGAAGGGTGGAGTGAGAGTTCAGAGATGGTATTTTGGTTTGCTTTGTTTTTAATACGTTGTTAGTTTGGTTACTGATCTGTAATCAGTTAAATTTGAAGGTCCCTCCATCAGGAACCAGAGGCTGCCTCTGCAGTATTGTCAGAAGACCTAACACGAGTTGATAGAGAGTTCTAGCCTGTCAATAAGTCAACTCAATAATAATATTTATAGGTTACCTTTCTTTTCCATCATCTCTTAGCACTCATTTTAAAAATCTTCTAACATTTAATTTCGGAGGGCTAGGGCTATAGCCCAGTAGTAGAATGCAAGGCCCTGAGTTTAATATTCAGCACCAAAGAAAAAATTTTGGAATAATTGTCTTCGTATATTTTGAAATTTCTGAAATTTAACAGTAAATTGTCATTTATGTCATCTTCAGTGGAAATGTGTACATTTTCTCTCTCCACGGAGAAATTTAAATGAAAAATGGAGTGAACTTAGGTTTCTCTCATCTAGATTTTTTTCGGGTTACATTGGCTGGTTATTTAGATTTGTAACTAGTAGGTAGAAATAAAATTTGTAGAGTCAACTCTATGGTTAAAAGTATCTTCTTCAAAAAATGTTGATAAATAGCAGGAGCAAGGAAACAAATGGGGAGGAGGCAGAAGAAGTGACTGAGACTGGAACAGATAGAGTGTACCAGGAAGAACAGTGGTTTGTCACAATTGCTTGTGACAAACAGTGACATACAAGGTAGCTCTGAGTTCAGCTAGAGTCATGATGAAAATTGCAGAGGGAGTGCTTTGAAGGCATGGATTAGATGACTAGATCAGGATGGACTGGACAACTAGAAAGAGCTGGTTTGACTGCAAAAATAGCACAGGCCTGTAGATTTCCAGAGACAGGGCAGGAGGGATGGGATGAGCCCGAGGTTATCTTCAGAGGATGAACACAGTGTTGTAAGGAGCAATGCAGCGGGCCAGTTAGATGCATGGGTAGAGAAGCCTAAGCACTAATGGAAAGCCCAAGAATATGTGAAATGTGTCTAGAAAGAAGTGAAGAGCAGTGCGCTAAGCAGAATAAACAAGCGATTAAAATAAAGGAAAAATAGTAAATGGTTTATGAGAAGACAAATGAAGTGTTGGTTAGATTAAGAATAAGACAGTCATCTCATAGGAGACTGTTGTATTTGTAGAAAAGATCTAGAGAAGTAGAAGAGAAATCCTGGAAAACTGTGAAGCCAAGAGTTAGTAGTTGCTGAAAAAATATAGCAGAGGGTTAGAGTGAGCAGGAGTCCAAGCTGCGTGAGGATTGTTTATGGGGTAAATCTTAGCTGTCTAAACAGAGTCATGCATAGAAGTTGATGCAGAAAGCATGAGTAGCAGCCAAATCTGAAATAGATTGAGAGTGAAAGAAACAAAAGAAGAGCAGAAAGATGGAAAATGTGGCCGAACTCATAGAGATGGGGAAAGTTAAGAAACTAGCGAAAGATGAGCGCTGATCAGGCCTGTGGTATGCAAACAGGCAAAGACAGGCATGGGGAGGAAAGGTAAAGAGCAAAGCATAGTAGACTGAGAAGCAGGTCATAGTCCCTGTGGGGTAGAAATAGAGCATCAGTGTAGATGTAGAAATAAAAGATAAAACTTGGTAGAGAAGGAGGCTGGTGAGGAGAGAGATGTCTCACTTGGTGAATGGCAAGAGGAGCATGTTAATCCTGAACTGAGGTCTGGCTGTAGAATAATTTTCTGATTTGTTTCTTGGTCGGTACACATACCACCTTGGATTATTCTGGGCTAGGCTGAGGGGATCTCTTCAAAAATATAGTATGTGTTTTATTTTGTTTCATTTTTATTTTTTAAACAAAATTCTCATGAGAGATGTTACTAAGGCAGGTTTGATTTGGTTTTGCCTGTTTTAGTGGACTTTGTCATTCTGTTCCCCAGAATAGGTTTATTCAAGCATCTCAGTCTGTGAAAACTTAGTGGTAGCTGGGCATATGATGCATTCCTGTAATCCCTGCAGAGTGCTGGGAGGCTGAGGCAGGAGGATCACAAGTACAAGCCTGCAACATAATGACTTAGTGAGACCTTGCCTGTCTGGGGGTATAGCTCAGTGTGACAGTTCAGGGTTCAATCCCCAGTACTGTAAAAAGCAAAACACCTTTATATACACCAGGAAATTAGTGTTTGAGAAATTTAATAGTAAATATAACATCTTGTTCTAATCCAGTTTTCACTCTGAGTTATTGAAGAGATTTCTCAGAATTGTTAAAGTGTGGATGTCTGTGGATAGCATTTATTTATAATCCTTGAGTAATTACCTCTCTGGCCATCCTTCTTTTCCCACACCAAGATGTTAATGTTTCTTCTTCATGTATCCCTCTAATCTTTTATACAGCAAGGACAGAGCAGCTACTACTGCTGGAGCTGCTGGCCAAGCAGGAGGTCACCACCGGGAAGCATGGGCCACCAAAGGGCCCTCCTATGAGGACTTATACACGCAGAACGTTGTCATTAACATGGATGACCAAGAAGATGTTCACCGGGCCTCCTTAGAGGGGAAGTCTGCCAAAGAGAGACCCATTTGGCTGAGAGAGAGCACTGTCCAAGGGGCATATAGTTCTGAAGAGATGAAAGAAGGTAAGATACAAGTCAGCAAAACAGATATGTCTTTAGGCCAGTAGAAAATGACCTTGATTTTGTGAGACACTGCTTAAGCAGTTCTTAGTTTTATTGCCCATTCATTGTGCCTGTTTTATAAAAACAATCAATTGCATAATATCAGGAAGTAAGAAATGGAGCTATGAGCCTTGAAACCAACCAGTAGGGCTGGGGACGTAGCTCAGTGGTACAGTGCCAGCCTAGCAAGTGCAGTGCCCTGAGTTCAATTCCCAGCACACAAAAAGAAAACAAAAACAGTATATTTGTATTGCTCTTCAGTGTAGTCAAAGTGATAACTTTTCAAAACTTCATTTTAGAGTTGCCCTATCTTTATATCTTGGAAAGTGCTTTTGTGTCAAGATGGTCAAATTCACTTCTCCTTTAATTTTCTATTGCCCTAATTTATATGCATTTTATTTTTCTGAATTGGAAGTCCTAATTGCACACTAGTCTAAAATTCTTAATGTTCTTTTCTCACAAATACCAGGAATTTGTGCTGCCTGCCATATATATATAAATAAAGAAACCATGTATATAAAGGATTAAGCATTCTCACAGTCCAAAAAGATTCATAGAAAATTCATTCTGTATTTTAGAAACCTCTTTGAGCCCAAAGGGTTGAGAATTACATAATAATCTTCGCAATTCTAATAGCTGCAAGATTTTACTTTTTAAATTCTAGGTAACTGGATTCAAGACTTTGGGTGATGGTATAGAAAGTGAGAGACTAAGACTAGACAAAGGCTGTTCAGAAATGGGAAAGCAGAAGTGACAGGGTGTCTGTGTGCTTCTGGTTAGACTTCCTCAGCCCCCATTCCCAGGTTATGTGTCATTACTAGCAGATTACCTTCATGTGATTACTTAGTGCTAAAGAATCATCAGACACTGAAAACTACTTATTTTTTGGCCTTTCCTCTAACCTCTTTTCCTATTTTTTGTTCGTTTGTTTATTTAATGTATTTATTTATTTTTTGAGGTAGAGTCTCACTGTATAGTCCAGGATGGCCTTGAACTCATGATGATCCTCCTGTTTCAGCTTCCTGAGTGCTGGGATTACAGGCATGTGCCTCTACGCCTGGCCCTATTTTCCTTTCTTAAATTTATTTTTAATATACTGTATGTACTAGAAATTATTCAAGTAGCATGGAATTTTAGGTAGTGATAGTAAAAGTAGGCAATACCACTAGTGGAATTCTCTTTGATATTTTAATTCCAGCCAGAAAAAAATTTTTCCTTGACAACCACTTTATTAATCAGCTTACTATATTTAGTTATTTTTATTCAAGTTATTCTAGATTATATAGTAGTTAGCTGTTTAATAGAATTGTTTCTCCCAACTTGTCTTCTTGCTTAGTTTTGAAGCAACCAAACCTTTTCTTTGGATGAAATTAAATAACATTATTATTAACCAATGCTAAACACAATTAAGCTCATAAGTTTAACATTTTATGTTTACAATTCCTAGAATAGTAGAATATGACTTGGATGGATCTTAAATAAGTCATCTGGTCAACTCAAGTTTTCTTCATAAGATAGGATACTATGCTATCATGTCTAAATTTACAGTGGTACCTTGGTTCATGGAACTGCCATTCATAGAACAAATTCTGTGACCAGAATCATGGAAAGAATTAAGTTCGTGAACCGAGGTACTGCTGTATCTCTGTTAAATTTCATGACGTGCAATGGGTTCTAGTTGGTCAGTGTATAAAGTGAGTCTTATTTGTCCTACACTTAGTTTTCCTCAAACTTGAAGTAATGTTGATATCTTTGTGAATTTTCCAGACATCTCTAATATTCTCATTAATTAATTCTAATTTCTTTTGATTCTGCTTTCCTTATAAGTAGTCGTCTTCCCCAAAACCGTGTCTGCCCACAGTTTTTTATTTTAATTGTCTTTTTGCAGACCATCTCCAGTCATGGTGTACTTTTCTCGAGACCTAGTGACCAGAAAACAGAACATGCTGTTTATATACAGATTAATCTTTAATGATTTCAGTTTTATTTCCAGTGTATTTAGTTGCTTTGGTTCTAGGAACATGTTAAGACATTAACTTTAGAAATGTGTGCACAGGCCTTTTCAGAATCTCTTCTGCCTTGTATCTGTTAACTGTCTAACATATGTATTTAAAATTATGTAGACAGTTTTCCTTGCACTTGCCTCTGTAAAAATAGGCCTTTTACCTTTCTGTCCACTTGTACAACCTTCAGCCCTTCCTGTAGTTCTTGCTGGAGCTTGGCCTTTCAGTCCCCAGAACTGCATAGCATCATCAGTGAGCTTAAATGTTTTGTAGTATACATCTTCTTTATAATTCATAACTACTAAATTAAAACTGTTCCTAGAACTAATGTCTTTGCGTTAACATCCAGAGATATGCTCTTTTTTCCTTGTTTTGTTTTCTCTTTATCTATAACAAAATAATTCCTTTTTTCTCAAAACCTCTTAAGATCTTTATCAGAAATCTGTGAATGTGACCTTATTTACTTTTCAAAATTAATTTTCCCCTAGTTTTATATTCAATTTAATGATAATTTGAAGTACAATTTTGGTAAGATAAAACTATTTTGTAACATTGTTTTACTAGTAATTATTCCTTTGAGACATGCATTCTTTGCCTTTTTATTTTTCTGTTGAAATCCTGCATTGGAAATAGAGTTCTGGGGAGAAGAGGTTCTGCCCTTGATGATTTTGTGAAGTAGTTAAATTTAATTTTAACTCTCATTTTGGCATACATGCTATAAACCTGTCTTCTCTGACATCATTTTCTCTCTTATTGCCCAAATTCTCATTTTGGAAGTTGAGTTTTTTCCAAAATGTCCAGCATTCCACATAATCCACTTTGATGTGTTAATGAGAAGATGCTTTTACTTTGTGCATTCTTTTGATGTAATGGTAGATGACACTTTCCCAAGTACCAGGTCCCTTCTCAACACATCACCCTCACTTGATCTCCACGATACTTCACTGAAGTATGCGCTGTTATTTTTTCCCCTTCTGTATTGTGAAAGTTGAAGCAGAGATAATGTAACTTGGGCAAAATTACACAGCTAATAAGTGTTAGTATTTGAATAAAATCAAGTTCCAAAAAACACTTAATGCTTTTATATATTTTAAATGGCACATGTTTGGTGTTATCAGAATGTAGAATATGAATGTCCTTACAGTTTTGATCTGCAATGTGCAGTGAAGGTGGTACAAAACATGATAAGAGGTATGTGGTGAGAGAAGGGTGACTTTTGCAATTAGATACTTTTTTCTAAAGAGTTCAAAGCATGGGTAGTTGGCTTCAGGAAAGTAAAACTGCCATTTATTCACTCATGCACTAAATACTTTCTCATTGCCTAGCAAGTGGCAAGCATTATGTAGCTGCATGAGGTATCAGTGAATAAAACAGATAAATATCTTTTGTACATCCTACATCCTTGGAAAGGGGAGGGATGACAAAGACAATCGACATAATTTATTCATTAGGTTAGAAATAAGTGCCTTGGGAAAAAATAGAGCACTGGTAAGGTGACCTTTGAGTAAAGACGTGGAAGATATAAGGGAGTTGTTTGACTACCTAAAGGAAAAATATTTCAGGGAGAAGGAACAGGCAGTACCAATGCCTTGAGATAAGGGTGTTTCGTACGTGTACAAGGAATGTCGTGGAGGCCCTTGTCCTGGCTGGAGCAGTAGTAGGGAGAGAGTGAGTAAGGTGAAAGTTGTCAAGAGTGATTCATTGTAGCGCTTTTGCCTTCCACTCTGAGCAAGATGAGCAGTGTTTTGATTTTCTGTTGTGCCACGTTATCCTTGGTCCTGCAAAGGCATTATTTCATAAAGTCCTGAACCAGAACCCATAGGTGGTAGATCCTTTTATCATCCTGTTTCGCAGAAAAGGCACTGAAGAGCTTAAGTAATTTGCTCAAGGTGGTACATGTGGAAGAACCTGGATTTAAATTCATGTTCGTTCTTGACTGTTACACTGCTTAACTCCACTTTGTGAGAAACATTTTGAATATTTTGTGTATAGTAGCCCAAGAAATGGAATCAGTGACATCTGTGTTGTTTTATTACATCGTTATTTATTTAAATATACACATGTGTTTCAGTGTAAAGGAATGGCTTACTATATTTAAGGTTTCTGACTTTCTGGGTTTTAACCCCCAGGTGGCATAGATATGGATCCATTTCAGGAGCATGAGGAAGGCCACACAGGGCCCGATGATAATGAGGAGGTCATGCGAGCACTCCTCATTCATGAGAAGAAGACTCCCTCTGCCACAGCTGGCTCCATGGGAGCGGCTGCTCCTGTGACTGCCGCCAATCCCAGTGACTCAGAAAGTGAGACCAGTGAGTCAGATGAAGACTCTCCCCCCCGGCCAGCAGCTGCTGTGGCTATGCATCATCGGGAAGAGGACGAGGAAGATGATGATGAGTTTGAGGAGGTGGCAGATGACCCGATTGTCATGGTGGCTGGCCGTCCGTTCTCCTACAGTGAAGTGAGCCAGCGGCCAGAGCTGGTGGCCCAGATGACACCAGAAGAGAAGGAAGCGTACATAGCGATGGGGCAGCGCATGTTTGAGGACCTCTTTGAATGAGCTTTCTCTGCCTGTTCCTCCTTTCTGTCATGTTCATTTCAAAAAGAAATTCCCTACCTTTGAAGAAAAATGTTTAAGTGGCTTTCTTGCCCTCTTGATAGAAAGCACCTGTTAATCTTTTACAAAGATAATGGGAGAGAAAGTTTAATTTTAATACCAGAACTTCCCAGAAAGGCAGGTTGGCCGTAAGCATTCCCTTCTCTGCTATTACTTCAGTATTAATATGTTACTGTATTTCCTTATCTGATTTTTTTCTTTCCTTTCTAAGACACTCTTTTCTCCCTTCTGAGATGAATGAGGGAAGAAACTTTTTGCATACCTACAGAAACCTATTACAATTAGTAACTGAGTTTTGTAATTCTTACCAAGGATTTAAACAGTTGCTTATATTGTCCCCAAACAAAGCAGCTTGCCTTATAGGCAAATCACTGGTTGGCGGCAAAGAATCCTAAAACTCCATATTTCCCCTAATTAAGATTGGGATCGACCTGTAAGGGGAGGTGAGACTGTGTACTGAAGAGGGATGGATATGCCCGAACCTTGTGTTTAGTGTGTAAACCAGAATTTGTGTCTTCAGAGTTGACCAGACTGGTAGATTCTGTTGTTTTGCTTAATGCTTTTTTGGTTTGGATTTTCAGTGATACAAAACAAAGTATGCTTAGTATACCTTTATGAAGAAATTAAAGAAACATGGACAAAGGATAAAGAGTCCGTGTAAAGGGTTGAGGAGCAGAGAGCATTAGGAGTGCCTTAGAACTGCCTGTGTCTGCTGTGATTTGGAAGTCCTTTAGGACTGCCCGCCCCCACTATAGACTTCTTGTCAGTGCTATAAATTAAGGAGGCCATCCGAGCAGAAAGCACAGACTAATTGATTACCTTCCTCTTTCTCTCTCAACATGTTTTGAAAGCCTTTTTTTTTTTTTGGTCTCTCTTTCGGTCCTTGTCAGACGTGGTAGTCTGGAGTGCACCCTGCATATTGTGGAGCACTGTAACCTCAAGGAACGTAGTTTGTTTGCGTTCTGATGTTGTAGCATGAGTTTCCTGAATGCAGAACTTTAAAAATAAAGGACGATTGTATTTCTTCTAGTATTTTTCTTGCATTGTAATTTTTAAGTATTTATCATTTTGTAGTACATGTGTGAAATTAAGATAGCATCTTAGAGTATCTGAGCCTTGTATGAAGTGATGTTTCATTTTCTTGGGTCTATTAATGACTAAATATTGATAATAACTATTTTATACTAACTGAAATTTGTCATTGTCTAGCTCTATAACATCATGGAGCATAATTAAAATATATATTCTCATTAAAAACACGTTAAAGACTTCTTTTATTAGTCATTATTTCATATAATAGGTGCAGTTATATACGATCTAAACTTTCTCTGGTTATAAGTTGTTTTAAGAATGATCTTTATGTGTGTGTCTTGTGTACATGGGACTATTCAACTTTTAAGTGTCTTTTTTTTGTAAATACCATAACTTTAAAAGTTAATTTAAATAAAATGGTAAGATAACCAGGGGTTAATTTTTAAACATAGTCTTTTTTTTTTTTTGGTTTTTCTCTGGTACCGGAAACTGAACTCATGACCTTGCGCTTGCCAGGCAGGCGCTTTTGCCGCTGAGCTAAATCCCCAGCCCCTAATTTTTTAAACTATATGTTCTTTGTTTACTTTTTATGTGAGCATATGTGAATGTGGAATTTTTGTCATGGAAAAATGTCACAAGTGAAGGTAGAGGTATGAATAAGGGTACTTACCTTGCAGTGTTTGGAATAGAGACACACTAATGTGTATTAGTCAGAAATTAAATGTTTTTCTATAAAATCACACAGCTGTTAAATCAGTGTATTGACAAGAAAAGATAACCATAATGTGTGAAATATAGAAGAATTTATTTTTTTCTCCAGGAGGGGTAGGAGATAAAAGGAAAAAATAACAGAGTGTTAATGTCATTTTAACTTTGTGTGTGTGTGTGTGTTACTGGGGATAGAACCCAAGGTCTTTGCATTGAGCTACATTCCCAACCCTTTTTATTTTTCATCTTGTGACAGTCTTACAGAGTTGGGGTTGAACTCATGATTCTCTTGTGTTGGCCTCCCATAGTGCTGAGGCTACAGGCATGGGGCATCATACCCAGTTATCTTAACTGCTTTATGTGTGTTGATTAATCTTTTACAAAAAAACCTGTGAGGTAGGTATATGTATACAAAAGTATTAGGAATGAGAGTTACAGTCATATGAATGTGTTATAATGGAAAAGATACTTCTATTTTGGAAAAAGAATTAAATGGGCAGCTAAAGAATTTTATGTAGAAATTACCTATAGAAACAGCAGAGTGAGCCAGGTGCGGTGGCGCACACCTGTAATCCTAGCACTCGGGAGGCTGAGGCAGGGAGATCGTTGTGAGTTTGAGACCAGCCTGTGCTACAAAGTGAGCTCAAGGCCAGCCTGAACTATATAGTGAGACCCTGTCTCAAAAAGACCAATAAAACAAAAACAAAAACAGAAACAGCAGAGTGAGCTGGGAGTGGTGGCATATGCTTGTCATCCCAGCTGCTTGGGAGGCTGGGGCAGAGGAACACAACTTTGAGAGAACCTGAGCAATTTAGAGAGACCTGTTTCAAAATACTAAGAAAGGGCTGGAGATGTAGCTTAAGTGGTAAAGCCCTCTGGGTTCAGTTTAGTGCTACTAAAAAAAGAAAAAAAAAATCATAAAACTCTTTAGGTTAATGCTAAGATTTTTAGGTGTCCTCTCATACTTTGTCTCTTAATCCTGGGTTCGTCATTTCCTTGGATAAATATCTTTGAATTTATACTCAAAATTAATAGGAAATACAGTTTAATATCAAAAGTTTTAACCATTACCTTCATATTTTAGTAACATGTCTAAGAAAATTCAATAGAATTTGATACCACTTTATTAGTCAGGTGTATCTCAAGTTGGGTAATAATTTGGTAAGGAAAGCCAGTCAGTGATGGGCCACAACTGGGAGCCCTGCCAATTATTAGCCTCTGAAACTTTAGTAAGGACAGGCTTGGACCCAAAAGTGGTAGAAGTGTAAGTTGCAATGTTTTGTGACCCCAGGACAATGGAGTTGTCGCCACCCACAGCCTATGGTAAAAGTTGGCTAGGAATTAGATTTCTCTAAATGTGACTGACTGTTAGCATCTGTGTAAATTAACACATGAATGGGTATATAGCTATAAATATATAAATATTTCAACAATACATAAAATACATCAGCTGCTCAGGTATCCCAACTTTTCCTTTTTCCCTGTCCTTTAAGATTTAAAAGGAGCCAGGTGTGATGGCACATGTGTATAATCCCAGCACTTTAGGAGGCTGAGGCAGGAGGACCACAGTTTGAGACCAGCCTGGGCAACTTAACAAGTTAATAAAACCTTGTCTCAAAATAACAATGGCTGGATGTACGCGTAACTCAGTGTGAAGGCCTTGGGTTCAATCCCTATTGCTAACCACACAAAAAAATATTTAAATGAAGCTCCTTTGTCCTCACATGGTAGAAAACCTCTTCTGGTGTCATTTCTTTTGGGAAACCACCTTTTTTTTCTGGGGCAGGGAACAGCAGACTTATATCCTCTGGCTCTGCTTCTCCACTATTCTTGTGTGTCTCCTTTGTACAAGCCTATATAATAGGTCTTCCCTGAAGTTTATGGCAATAGGGAGAAGGAGACGGTGAGAAAAGGATTTTTGTCAACATCTCATCATCAGGGAATAAGGTTGGATTGTACGGTGTGCATCCTTGTTAAAGAATTTCTTACAGGTTTCACCTCAAATAGAATCCTACAGTCAAATCTTACTAAAATTATAATTTCCTTTTTCCTTCTCATCGCACCTTTCTCTCCAAGGGTATTGGAGAATTCTAAAAACATTAGAAAAGGTACAGTTCTTTGTTTTGTTCTAATCCTCCAAATGGTTGCCTTGAAAGTTCCTGCTGTATCCTAAATGCCCTGTCACCGTTGTTTCCCTAACCCACGGACCATTTCCTCACCTGTAGGAATCAGCATAGGTGGCTAACTAGTTTTAAATGGAACCTTTTCTCTCTCTACACTGAAAAATATCACTTGTACATTGCCAAAATAAGGCAATGAATAAACAACCCTGATCCTATGGTCCTAGTGATCTAGTGTGTATCTGGTAGAAGATTGCTTTCATTTTATCTGTCCTTGAAGTTGAAGCCATTTTCTTATTTTCAACCCCCCCCTTTTGTTTTTTGTTTTTGTTTCTGCAAAACACCTTAGAACTGTGTTTAAATGATGAAAATATTCAATATGCAAAAAAGAGAGAAAATATTCAATATAGCATAGTCAGGAAAGTATTCAATATAGCATAGTCAGAAGTCAGGAAACTAGGTTCTAGTCCCAGCACTAGCTAACTAACACTGCTACCTGGGATGCTGTTATCAGATATAACGTTTCCACGCCAGCTTAATTCAGCTGTGAGAGTATTGTGCTAGGATCACCAAGATTCCCTCCAGTTCTGATAATTTTGTAGGGGTAAGTGGTAGATGATGCATTTTAAAATGGTGCTAAATAATAACAATCCCACCCCCAAGACTTCTGGTTGTGCTATAATAATTCAAACCAGGTGAAGGATATTTTAATTGAAGGGCTGGTGTAGGTGGCAGGTTGGGATTGAGAATTTAGCAAACCACAGCATAAACAACTGCTTAGGTTTCGCTCTCCTCATCTTGCCAAGGTACTTCACTTCTAGTCATCTAAATGATTGAGGGAGGAAAAATTGTTTCATAATTCTCTTTCAGTATTGTTTAAAAGAATGGCCATTGCATGGGAACAAGATCTGGAAAAGCAAGTTCATTTTCTTCTCTTCTACCAGCTCTATGGCTAGATTCCCAGCCAGGACCACAATAGAGTTACATATGTACTTTCCTGTTCACTTTATTTCCAAGTTAAAAAAAAACCAAAGGAATGAAAACACCTTGTTTTCCTTTTTCCCTGTCCTTTAAGATTTAAATGGAGCCAGGTGTGATGGCACATACGTATAATCCCAATAAAATATTTACTTCTGATTTTTGTTTTTAAATGACTAGGAAACGACAAAGGACAAATATGAAAATGTGTAGAATTTAGAAATTGGTATAATTCCACTTTCTGTTTGCTTAGGATATTATTTTAATCAGAGCTATTTTACCTGTGCTACCTTTAACAGCTGGGCTGCTATCATTTAATATCTAAAATTCTTCGGGGAAAGTGAGGAAGATTTTTAGAAAGAAACTGGGGTTGGTAAATTTATTGTCCTGCTGGCTTTTTCTGCTATAAAGAAGGAAAATAAACTCTGAACAAGGTAAGTACAGATACTTTAAACACTTGTAAAGCTAAAATGAGTTGGAAATGGGGAGCGAATCATGAAATCTTCCTTTGGAGACCTACAGGGATGAACTAATTCTGGCATGCCCTCAAGGGCAAGCACAAGTACCCTCGCTTCTCTTCAGAAAGAGCGTTGTGTTCTGAGTACCAAGAAGCAGCCTGTCCTAGTCTGGCTGCAAAGCAGGTAGGCATAGTGAATGACCCAGTTTCAACAATCAACCAATGATTCCCATCAAACAAAAGTACATAATTGCTACCTAATGTAAATAAGTCTGGGGAATTTGTCTGGAAAAAAGGCTAGCACAAGGTCCTGAAGTGCCTTGAATCATGTTAATCCATATGAGGTAGTTATACAGTTTTGTTGTTGTTATGTAAATGTTCATTATTTTAAAATGCACCCAGTAAAATAAATAGCACAAACAAAACTCGCCATGTGACTCCTCTGAGGAAATCATGGCTGATAGCTTAATGCGTATTGTCTCAGAGCTTTTCTAGGCCTTTAGACAACCTTCACACTCCCCATGTACCACTTTGCTTTTTACATAAATGGGCTTGTATATGCATTTTCGTTTGCTTTTTAAAAAGAACTAAATAGACTCTTACGTTGTATGGTGATTTATGTAACATGTTCCTTTTTGATGGGTAGTTAGGTAGTGTCTTCTTTTCACTATGACAGTGCTGTGAGGAATTACCCTTATGTTTTCATTCTCTTATTTCTACAAACAGAATTATAATAGAGAAGTAGCCAAAGACTGTATTAGTCTGTTTTGTGTGGTTCCAACAAAATACCCAAGACTGGATACATTATAATAGGTTGTAAACTAAATAGGTTTATTTAACAGTTTTGAAGGCTTAAAAGTCTAAGAATATGTAGTCCCATCAGGAGAGACCCATTGGGCTTTGCCCCAATGTGCAGAAGAAGTGGAAAGGAAAATGGCTGTATGTGCAAGAGCCCAAGCTCATGTGGTGGACTTGC